TAATTATACGAAATGGAATTACTTGAGGGAAAATATTACTGTTTCTTATTATGCACAACAAGAGTAATTTTCACAAGTTACAGACGTCTTGTACCACCATATAACGAGTTGACATCTAATATCGAGCTGGATTAACTTCTGAATTCTTATCATGTTGAATGTGAGGATGGCATATTCGAACATGGGTACACACACCACATTTGAATATTAAATATTTTAATAGGAGCTAGCTTTCGACTCTCCTCACCCTAATGAAGCCCTTGTTTTTTTTTTTTAATATTGAACTGAAATAACTTCCATTTCTTTAAACCCCTCAAAATATAATAATTATGCAACGAAATTTCAGTTGTTATCAGAATGTCTAGCGGCTTTTTAAACTATTCGAAGTTTATTTGACAGAAGATTTCTAAAAAAAAAAAAATTGAATGTTCTCAAAGCTCATTCGTTAGAACATTCTGTATTGTTTTTTTTTCTTCATAAATTAACATAATCCAGAAGATGAAAATTAAAATACACAAATTTGTACTTTGTTTTGTATTACATCATGTATAGAATTTTAAAGTATTTCCGACATAGTTAACGTAATCAAATACGATGTAAATAACTATTATTTTGATAGTGCTTCATCTTTGACTTTCTTCTTGAAATCTTAGTTTTTTGTTTCTCTTCGGGCTTTTGTTGGGATGTCCATTTTTGGATTTAAGATTTCTTTTTAAATTCAGTCTTTAATCGAAATGTCTTCTTTTTACTATAAAATCTTTGTCGATTTCTTTTTACTTTGGATTAAGAATTAATCGGAATATCCTTATTCTAGGTTTACAATTTTATTGTGATGCCTTTTACTATAAAATCTTTGTCGATTTCTTTTTACTTTGGATTAAGAATTAATCGGAATATCCTTATTCTAGGTTTACAATTTTATTGTGATGCCTTTTTTAGCTATAGGCTTTTGTAATTTTTTATTGCATTGGCCCTTTTTGTTAAGGTCAGGATGCTAATAAATTCATTAATTGCAGTGGCGGGTGTTATGATCATACTAACTGTGTCTATCAGCTTTTTTTTAATTCACTGAAACTTTGTAATATTTTTAGCTCCCCTCACAGTCAAGTTTAGATCATTCCATGATTTCTTTTTTTCTTTTTTTTTTTAAAGTAGTTATGAGTCACACAATCTTAGTTCCAAGCTAGCGCTCTAAGCAACGGTTTGCACTTCTAAATAAGTTTGTATTTCTCGTCAATTCTCACTCCCGTGGTTAATATGGAAACTTTAATTCACGAATCACACTTGATCCTTTACAAAGGGCATGACCTAAAACACCATAGTTGCCGCTGGTCATGTCTAAAATCAGTTGTACTATAGATAGTTAAAATTTTGCTTTTGGAATTTCGCGCAAATCTACTCAAGGGCTATCTGCGCTAACCGCCCCTAATTTAGAAGTGATAGAATATAGAGTAGGCAACTATTCAACATCACCCACCGCCAACTCTTGAGCTACTCTTTTGCCAACGAAAAATGAGATTGACCATCATATTATAACGGTTCCACGACTGAAAGAGCGAGCATGTTCGGTGACCAGATTCGAACTTGCGCTCTAACCACCAGGCAGACAGTGTATCACAACAATAAACAGTTAGTATATAGTTTAGAATATATGGACAATTGGGATAATCATCGTGCTTAAAAAGTCTACTGTTTGAGATGTACTCATGCAGAAATTATCATTCAGACGTTTTTCGAGTCTAGGTTTTTAAAGTCTAAATATAAAGGTTAAACTTTTAAACGATAATAATGTTAATAA